CCCTCTTATTGTAGTTTTGATTTGCATTTCCCCATTGACTAATGATGCACAGCATCTTTCCCCGTGCTTATTGGTTATTTGTATAACCTCTTTGGAAAAAATGTTTATTCACATCCTTCATTTTTTGAGTTACTTGTCTTGTTATGGTTGAGTTGTAAGAGTTATTTATGTGTTCTGGATATTAGACCTTTATCTGATACATGATTTGCAAATATTTTCTCCCATTCTGTGGGTAGTGTTTTCACTTCCTTGATAGTGTTTGAAGCTCAAAAGTTTTTAGTTTTGATGAAGTCCAGTTTAATTTTTTTTTTGCTTGCTTGTGCTTTTGATTTCATATCTGTGTAATCCAGAATCATGAATACATCCATTTTCTTATAAGAATTTTTATTTCAGCTTTTAGATTTAGTTCTTTATTCCATTTTGGGTTAATTTTTATATATGCTATGAGTCTTTATATGTGGATATCTAGTTATCCCAGCACTATTTGTTGAATATGGCTATTTTTAAAACTGTTTTTCCCCTTTATTTACTGTCAGTCCAAATACTTATATTAATAGTGCTTGCAGATGTGCAAGGCATGTGATAAGACTGCGGAGTATACAGTTTCAATAAGAACCTTGTCTTCCCTTCAGGACTTAGATCTAGTTGAGGCTGATGATAGCAAGATACATGAAGTTGTTAAATGGTATATATTGATAATTCAGTGTCAGAGGAGTGGTGGAGAGAACAGAATTCATTAGGAATTGAGAAGACCAAGTAAGTCTATGTGCAGAGAGTTTCATGATGGAGATGAAGACATTAAGGTCAAGTAAGGTTTAGATATAGAAAGACCACAAATGGTCAGAGCAGAACTACTGAAGCAGTTATAATTTTTTTTGTCCCAGAGTATCTATGGAACACCTTTTAGACAGATTTTGAAATTTTCCTAAATTATTAGGTCTTCTCTTGGCCTAAATTATGTTGTTAGAAGTTGGAATCACCTGATATATACTTCGTGCTATTATACTTAGAGATAAGGCAGTTTCTATTTTTTTGGTCACCCCATATTGGATTGGTTACCTGCCGGTACTATCTTGTATTTGCTTATCTTTTTATTTTCTCAGTGGTTGTCTCTGAGCCAGACTTTCTATATTCTGTCTTCATAGTCCCTGCAGCCTTCTAGGATTTCTTTTTTTGAAACCCTAGAGATACTGTTCTTGACATGGTCACTGATAACTTCCACATTGTAAATCCAGCGGTCAGTTCTCAGTCCACCTCTGTCTGACATAGCAGCATATTTAACACAGTTGGTAACTCCCTCCTCCTTGACATGTTTTCTTCACTTGCCTTCCCTAACACCATGCTTCCCTGATTTTCCTCTTAGGTCACAGTTAGTGTCTCAGTAGTCTTTGTTAGTCTCCTTTTCCAGTTCTCCTTCATCTCGGCCTCATCTTGGAGTTCCCAGGACTCTCCTTTTATCACTTCTTTGTGTCTACACTGACTCTCTAGGTGATTTCATTTAGTCTCATGGCTTCAAGTATTATCTGTATGCCAGTGACTCACAGATTTGTATATCCCGCCCAGCCCTTACTCTTGAACTCCAGGCTTGTATATCTAGCTGATTCCTCCCTGTATGCACTGGGGTGACTGTCACTTAACATCTCAAATTTAACAAGCCCCGCCCGCCACACTGAACTCTTTATCTGCCCCTTTCCCTTATACCTGCTCAGGCTTTAGTCTTTTTCATCTTACTTAAAGACAATTCCATCTTTCTGACTCAGGCTAAAAACCTTGGAGTCATCGGTGAGTCCTTTTGTTCCCTCATATCCAGTCAGGAACGCCTACTGGCTTTACCTTCAGAATGCAACCGTTCTCACCACCTCCACATCTAACACCCTGGGCTGAGCCCTTGTCATCTCATCTGGATTGCTATCACAACCTCCTGACTTATCTTTCTGCTTCTGTTCTTATACTCCTATCATTAGCCAGAATGACCATATTACATGTTATGTTGAAACTGGAGGCCAAAATGAGTCTGGGGCTCGTGCTGCCTGCGCCGCTCAGCCAATAAACCAGCACAGGAGTTGGGTCATAGAATAAGTGTTTATTATCAGAGCATCAGTGGTCTGAAAAGGCAGCAGGTTAACACCTTCAAAAATTGCCTTAACATTCTCAGACTAGCCTGGGATATTTAAAGGAAAATCTGGGCGTTCCTCCAGAGGCTACATGAAGGTTCCGGGGATCTGCATGGAGCCTCCCCTCTGACGATGTGGCTTTCTAACGTGGTCACCAACCCAGAAGCAGTGATCACAGTAACCTGGGAAGAAAGCTAGGCCATAAAGATTGTAATCGGCAAGCATATAGTGGTGGTGGTGGTGGTGGGGGCACTGTGACTAGTAAGCAAGCATAAGTTTCAGGGTAATTATCTAAAGCAGGGAACTGGGACAGGGGACATTCCAAGCTCAAACCTCAGGGAGGGGGGTTGAGCAATTGTTAAGCTCTAGAGGAGGGAGAGGCAAGGCCAAGGACATTGCAAGGCCTCTTTTGTGGGGGGCCCTGTTTCAGTGTCAGTTTATGTACCTGCTGTGCTCAAAAGCTGGCAATGGATAATCCCTTTCACTCAAAGTAAAAGCCAAAGTCTTTACCATGCCCCAAAGGCCCTGCAAGAACAGGACCCCCATTATTTCTTGGACTTCTGTCCTCCTGGTTTCCTTTGCAGGAATTCTACTTTAGTCACATTGGCCTCTTCACTATTCCATTAATAGTCTAGGTATATTTCTGCAATAGGGCTCTTTTGTCCCCTCAGGCTGGAATGCCTTCTCCTGTAGGAGAGGAAAATCATTTTCCTTCTATCCTTGTGAGTTTTGGGCTGCAACCCTGTAATAAAAGATAGATTAACAAGAGAAAAACAAGTTTATGAACATGTACACCTCATGTATACAGGAAGATACCTGGGGAAAAATGAATAACTCAAAGAAGTGGCTGAAAATTGAGGCTTCAGTACCATCTTCAGCTAAACACAAAAGAAAGAAAGGTGTGGGGAGTCGCTACAGGAAGGTTACCAGGAAATGCACAATAAGCAAGAGTCTGGTTTGGTTTGTTATGCAGGTAAGTCGTGCCTTCTCAGTTGATAAAAGTTTTTTTGTGATTTAGAGCCATCCTTCTCTTCCTGGTAGAGAGGGAGACACCCTTACAAATGTAGATTTCTTTTATTAACGTAAATTTCACTTATAACAGGGTAACTTCTACTCTGTCTTCAGAGATCTCCTTTGTCTCCTGTTTCTCAAAGTAAATATTATGCTAAAGAAGCATATTTTGGGGTGGCATATTCTGCTACCCTTCACCTTTAAGTAAGGCTTGAAAGAAGGCTTCAAGAAATGACATTGCTCAAATGTCATTTTCTCAGTGAGGCCTACCACGTCTACCCATTTTCAAATTGCAGTTGCTTAACCATATACTCCCATCTCTTTTACTCTGCTTCCCCACCCCCAGCATGTGTCATCTTTTGTCATATAATTGATTTATTTTGTGTATTGTTCATCTTGTTCGCCAGAAGGTTAGGGCAGGAATTTTTGGTGGTTTTGTTTCACTGCTACACCTATCATGTAATGAGAGCTCAAGAAATATTTGTTGAATGAATGAACATACTAGGGCTACTGTACTTTTGGGCTTGTTCTTGTTCAAATTCTTGGGCCCCATCTCATACCTCTTGAATTAGAAACTCGGGAAACGGGGGTCTAACTACTTTGTTTTAACTAGGCCTCCAAGTGATTCTGATGCAAATTAAAATTTAAGAATCAGTGCTATAGAATATTGAGTAGGATTTCAGAAGCTAGGCCTTTTGCTTACAGGTGGAGGTACGGATGTAGATATACAAGGTAATTGACAGATATAACTGAATTTGTCCCCCCTCCCTCCCTGTCTCCCTCATTCCCTTCTTCATTTTTCTTGAGGAGGTAACACAGGGAAAATGGATATAAATTATAGTAACTTCCAGTTCATTTATTATATGAATCAAGGGTCCCCAAGACCATCTTTAGTGTCCGTTGATCACTAGGAGGATAAACAGGACTCAGCATGTAGTCACACTCATGGCTAAGATTTATTTCAGCAAAAGGGTATAAAGCAAAATCTGCTAGGGGTAAAGGCACATGGGACAAGGTCCAGAGGAAATAAGGAAAAATTTTCTAAGAGTCTTCTCCCAATGGAGTCGCACGGACCACGTTTAATATCTTCAGCGTAAAATTGTAACATGAATGAAGTGTCTTCTACCAGGGAAGCTCATTAGTGTTTTATTGGGTACTGGTCATACGGGCACCCTCTGCCTAGATGTACCAAAATTCCAGACTCACAGAAGGAAAGCAGGAGTTGAGCATAAACCATATTGTACAAACAGTTTAGGCACAGTGAATTCTTTTCAACAGTTAGAGTGATGGGAACCCTCCTGAAATCCAAGTTCCCAGATAACCAGCTAAGGTCAACCTTCCAAAGCAGGCCTTTCTAAGGGTAGCAAGCAGTCTCAGGCCTGTTATGTGAATTAATTTTTACACATCATGATATCCAAAGAAGTTTATTTTTTTCTTCTACTTCCTTATATAGAATATAAAGCATTAGACTAAATAATTTCTCTTTAAGAAATTTAGTAATAATCAAGATGTTTTGAAAATGACTTGAACAGTTTAAGTGGATTGAGCGAGTTTGTTTATTGAGACATTTTCTGAAAAATTCCTTGGCAGTATTATTCACAGTCTATGCTGATTTTAGTAATTACAAAAGTGGTTTATTTCTTAGTAAATTTTTTTTTATTTCTTTCCCCAAATAAAAAAAAGATTAAGGTAACTTTCTTAGTTTTCACTTGAAAAATATTATCGTGAATGTGACCATCTGCTTCAAAGCAGACACCGATTTTTCTTCACTTTTCTTCTATCTTTCATATTCCAAAGAACCTATTTGAAACTTGCTATCTTTGGGTTTGCTTTCGTGAGTAACCAATCTTTTTTGTTTTCTTTCTTTTTTTGTAGGCCAAGATACTGAATTATCAGGGACGCTTTCACTTGTTTTGACCCAGTGCTGTAAGAGAATAAAGGATACTGTTCAGAAATTGGCCTCCGACCACAAAGACATCCACAGCAGCGTTTCTCGGGTTGGAAAAGCCATTGATAAGGTATGGTATTAAAGGAAGTGTTCGGTTATTTTTAAGCATCATCCTTCATCCCCTGTCATTGCTTTGATAACATTAGCTTTCTCAAATTATGCTATTCCTTTCATTCCTGCTTTTAATAACTTTTGCAGATCTGGTTTTACTGTGTCATTCTTAAAGTTCCCTGTTGCTATTATTTAAAAAATTAAAAACAAACCAAAAAAGCTCTTTTTACAGCCTTGTTATTTATCCATTTGCTTATATGAATACAGTTCCCACTGTCATGATGAGTAAATTTCCCAAGAACTTCGAACCTGCTATGAAGGAGTTTGTTTACAGAAGTAACTTTTCCTGCTTCCTGAGTAATTCCCTGGCTGTGACTCTGTCTGTGTTATGGAACGATTAAGAAAATACCCTTGCATCCGTCTCCCCTGTATTATCCTAACTCTTGTCTTCTGTGGGCATGCCAGTAGCTTTTCTCCAGTGTTGTTTTATGTGTGAGTGGGTTAGTTGCTAGTTAGCAAGGCCAGTCGGTTGTGATGGGTGATTTTTCTTAAAACATTTCTTGAATCTTTCACTTAGTGGCTTACATAGAAGCAGTTATCATTTTTAGCACTGGGCCAGTTTTGTCCTTGGAGTTCATGGTCCTAGTGGGGCCTAATAGAAGTGGCCTAAAGTTACTTCTGACCACTTTAGCCACAGGGAAGTTTGTGACTGGTTATGAACATTTTTGGGAAGTAGGAAGAACTTCTGGGGAGAGCTCTTTGTAGCCAAGGCACCTCCTAACCAGTCCTATGAGTTGCTTCATCTGTACACACAAGAGTGATAACTGTAATGTAGATAGAAACTCATGGAATCTAGAGAGTGGCTCTAACTCATGGATAAAAGCCTGTTAGAAATTATCCTATGGAACAGTAGTATTAAAAGGCTAAACTGGAGGCAGCCTAAGTCAGAACTGTATGCTTCGAAGGAGATATCATTAACTGGTTGGTGTGGTATGTCGTGGCTGTGAATGGCAGGGGCTCTAGGGACTCTGCGTGGCTGTGGCTTACAGAAGTGTTAGTGACCTTTCAGTGAGCTCTGACCACTCCCATAGTGCTGAGGGCTTCAACTCAGCAAAAGAGGCCAGAGAAGTGTTGGTAGCAGCAGCCCCATTTTTGGATCAGTGATGGCCATTGCCAGCAATGTCTGGAAAGGCAATAAATATTCTGTGGAATAGCCTTGAGGTTGTGACACCTGTTTGGTAACGCCGAGGGAGTGAACTCAGCTTTGGAAGAGGCTTTGGCATCAAAGCTTTCGGGGCTATGGCATTTGAAGTCTTCATTTGGTACCTGAAGTGATTGTTGGTGTGGACTAGCTTAAGGACTTAGTGGAGTGGTGCTAGGGCACTTTAGAGTTGATCTTAAATTACTGTTGATTGAGAAACCCTCAGTTTCTCTAGGGCGGTGTAACTAGTGATGTTTAGGAAGCTTCAGATTTTGGTGGCTGACAGTGACCAAGTCATTCTAGTGATTCTGGTGGTTCCAACTCCAGAAGGTTCCTGGAGGCTTTTGATTGACTACGAGGCTGTTTGCAGTTATAACAGAGGGTGAGACAGTAGTACCAGAAAGTGCCATGGCAGTGAGAAGAGCTGAAGCTTCCAAAGCAGCCCGTCAGAAAATATCTGAGAAGAGATCCCAGATGGGAATAGGTTGGGACAGCCTCAGCAACCATACCTTGTGTGTGGACTACTGGCCACCAGGAGCAGGAGCGTTTGGGCAAATCACCAGCTTTGCATTCATTCTGTCACTGGTTTCCCCCTTTTCCTAGTTTATGTCTGTTGTCCTCCTTATCATCAGGACCCTCTTTTACTTTGTCCCTCTAGCTACTGGTACCTTGTGGAGCATGTCTTCCACCTGATCTAGCAAGCCTTTACAAATATTTGTAGGGATTGTCAGATATTTTGACTAATCTTTGAGACAAAGCATTTAAATGTATTTGGTGCTAGAAATGGCAGTATCTTTTTGAGAATGGATACCAAGAAAGCATATAGTAGTAATTAAATTCTGGCTCTTTAGGTGGGGATATGATTGAGGTGAATGTTCCTAATTACATAATTTACTCATTTCTCTTTTGGGAATATTTTTGATGTACTTGGAAGTTATAAGAGCTTTTTCAAGTAATTTTTAAAAATAGTTTTATGTTCTTGTGAAAGTAGATCAGGTTCTAGATGACCTCGATTCTCCTGATCTATCATACGAAATTACACTACTGAGTTGATATTACTAAGTATTTGTTGAATTATAGTCCTGAATCACAAAAAAAAAGCCCCTGAATCCTTTAGCCCAGTTCTCTAACATCTTTCAGTGCATTCCCTCCCAATTTTGTTTGGCAGTTACTTGGCCCCAGCTGTAGAGGAAACTGTTAACCCCACTAGAACTACCTAGACATTGTGCACAAACTTCTCACATGTATGAGGACTACTGTGTAAGCTTTTGTCATATGAGACTCCATTGACTTGTAAAGTCTTTTTTTTTTTTTTAATAGTTTGGACCTGGTACGTTTGTACAAGCGTCCAGGGCCACCTGTTGTAATGGCTTGGTGGACTCATGGATTGGTGGTGAGCAAACAGGATGGACCTGAAGCCACTGTGGCACAAGCCTTAAGTACCACAACAAATAGACTTGAGTAACAAACTGGAATGCTGTCCAGCAGCCTGTAAGCACCATTCTATGGATACTTGTTCCCACCCCCGCCCCCAAGGGCAGGACAGTCAGAGATGCTGGTGACTCCTTTATGAGCAAGCTGGTTTTGTGTGAGGAACTTCAGTACACTTTTGACACGCTCAGTGATTTTTTTTCCTTTAGTGTTTTAATGCTTCTTGTGTTTTAAAGTTCTCTAGTCATCACTTCTCTGAAAATGTAAGCAGAAAAGTTTGTGGTATTAGCTAAGGTATTTTGTGGCTTTTAATTATTGTGAACATAAAATGTTGAAGATTTCTGCATTAATGTGTTGAATAGTTTCAGATGTCCATAGTATTACAATCACTTTTTAAAATATATAANCAAATACCACCTAGTCGTGATGGTAGTAGCTGCCACGCATTAAATATTTACCACAGCCAAGCCCTGCCTTTATTCCTCACTGCAGTCGTGGGAGGTGGAAATTATCACTCCCGTTCTACAAATGAGAAACCCCAGGTCTGGGGCAGTAACTTGCTCAAGGCCATACAGATTCGTAGTGAAGGAACTAGGATTCAGGCCCACATTCCTGTGTCTTCAAATTCTGTCCTCAGCTACCATCTGCCATTGTATTTTCTGTTTAAGGACTAAATAATTTAAAGTTAGCCTACAAACAAAACCTCTAAGCCTTTTCTATTTTAAACAGATATAACTCAGGTCTTTCTCTGTACCTTACGGGAACTGTGTATGTGTCCATATAAGTTTCCTAAAGTAAATTGTGTCATTTAGGGTTAAGTTTGTTTACAAGTATCAAAGACCCAAAATACCAGTGGCTTAAACAGAAACGAAGTTTATTTCTGGTGCACAGAAATAGTACATCCACAGCATATGTAGTAGCTGTGCTTCGTGAAGCTCTTAGGGACCTGGACTTCTTGTACCTCTGCTAGTTCTAAGGTGCCCCCTGTCCTCATGGTCTAGGATACCAGGGAGAACTCTTTATACCTTCTGGTAATCCAGGAAGGGGCAGAGAATACATGCTTATATATCACTGGCCAGAATTTACATTGCAGTAATACTCAGCTTTATTCTATTGGTTATATGCTCAGCAGAAATTGGGAGGAGTTCTACTACTTTGGAAAAGGGGAAAGAATGAAACTAGGGCTCAATCATCAGCCTCTGCCATAGAAAGATATGTTAAAAAGGATTTGTTTTTAGTGGGTTGTCCCATATTTAATTTAGAATATGCTTTTACTGTATCTCTTTACCCTGATTCCTGCTAATAAAACTTCTTTCTATTTTTGCAGGAGTCTGGTCTCTCTGTAGACCCCAGTCAGAAAGAACCATTTGTGGAGTTGAATCGAATATTAGAAGCATTAAAAGTCAGAGTTCTGAGACCTGCTCTTGAGTGAGTTACTGAGTTTATTTTCTTTTGAATATTTTGAGAGAACTCTCTATAAGGAAACTTAATTAGAAAACACGTTAGAGATTTTGAGATATATATCTCTCACCTGGGGTAGACTTCAGAGAAATTAAGGAAGAATTATTTTATTTTTTTAGCTAAGTGAATATGGGAGTGTGTGTAATACGGGAAATGGTTAGAGCTTACTTCGCTTATTAATTGGTCTGAATTCCCATGAGAAAAAGGGTTTCCTGTTTTCAGGCTGTACCATCACTTTCAACTAGCATTATAACTGAAATACTGTTGTCTAGGTGGGCTGAGTTTGATATTTGAAGTTCCCTAATGTGCCAGATTCTGTGCTAGTCAAAAAAAAAAAAAAAAATTTAAGTGGCTATTGGAATTATGTGGTATGTATGAAGTGAATAAATTTTGTTATGGTGAAGTTCTAATTACCACTGTAAAATTTAATGATTTGCTGTGAATTTGTCATTGATGTGAATTATCTGAAATTACTGAGTAAGCTATGATAAATATTATCCTAGAGCAGAGTCAGTAAAGTTTTTTGTAAAGGGCCAGATAGTAAATATTTTAGGCTTTGCAAAACCATGTAAGGTCTTCATTGCAGGTTCTTTGCTTTATTTTACACCCTTTAAAAATGTGAAAAAAACCATCTTGGCCATCTGGCATACAAACAGGCAGGCAGCAAGCCATATTTTTTGCCCTTGGCTGTAGTTTGCTGACCCTTGTCCTAGAATTTTTTAATGTGGAGATTACTGGGTTATTTGTTNTGCTGAACTTTTTGAATCTATAGGTTTATGTCTTTTGCCAAGGTTGGGAAATATTTCTCAAATATTTTTGTCTACACTACAGTCATCTCTTTTTCTGGTACTCCGATGATATGAATGTTAGATCTTTTGTTATGGTCCCACAGGTCCCTGAAGCTCTGTTCATTTTTTTCACACTTTTTTTCTATTGTTCAGATTAGATCATTTCTGTTGACCTTCACTGACTTTCTTCACTGTTACCTGCATTCTGTAATATATTAAGTCCATCCAGTGAGTTTTTATTTTGAATATTGTTATTGTCTGTTTCTTTGCTAAGACTTTGTCTTTTTCTATCAAGATGTTTGCCCTTTGTTCTTAGCATTTTATAACTACTCTAAAGTCTTTAATGATTCCAGTGTTTGCGTCATCTCGGCTGAACATCTTTTCCAGTGCAAGTTTAGATTTTTCTGGTTCTTTGTATGCTGAATACACCTTTGTGGGACCTGGAGCAGAGAAATCACCTGAGCCTATTGACTTCGGACCTATAGAGACGTGAGATAATAAAATTGTGTTGTTGTAAGTGGCAATAGAAAACTAATATACTTACAGAATGCCTTATCCTAGAGGTGCAAGAAAATGGAGGGGGGACAGTATGCGATTTTCCCTAATCTCTGAGTAGTAGGAGAACCCGTTCCTGTTCTTCATCGCAAAATTAAAGGACTTCTCCTGGAGCTGTCTCCACATCCTGGGTGCCCTGTTCTGGGCTTTGGCTGCATTGTATCCAGGCTGACAGATGTTAGAGAAAGAAAAGTAGTAAACATACCAGTTCTGTCACCGTCTTCCTCGATCCACCTACTACTATTCGCTTTTTAGCTGCTCCATTTATTCTGTCCTGATTTTATAACTGCATTCAATGGGGGAGACAGGTGTAGTGTGCTTATTTGATCTTATCCAGAACTGGATAGTTATTAGTTTATTACAAAAGTCATATTTGCTCTTTGTGTGGAACATGCTAATCTCCAGTGATAATTTCTGCTAATACTTTAGTGTCAATCATTTCAGATTTTTTTCGTAAGCATTTGCAGGTATTCTTTAAAAAAAAGGGGGGGCATAATTTTATAGAAATTATATTTTTTCACCTAAGGTGTTAGGGACATTTTTCCATGTTAGTGGATACAGAGTGATGAGCCTCACTTTCCACTTGTGAAAAGTAATAACACTGGAATAATAGCAAGTACCATTTTATTTAACCAATAAGGGAGTGTATTAATTGGCTAGGGTTGCTATAACAAAGTACCACTAGGTGGCATAAACAGACATTTGTTTTCACACAATTCTGGAGACTGGAAGTTCAAGATCAAGGTGTTGATAGGGTTGCTTCCTTCTGAGGCCTCTCCTTGGCTTGTAGACAGCCATCTTCTCCCTGCATCTTCACATGGTATCATAGCTTGGGCTACCATTACAAAATACCACAGAGTGGTTGGTTTAAACAACAAAATTGTATTTTCTCACAGTTCTGGAGACTGGGAAGTCCAAGATCAAGTTTCTGGCCAAGTCATTTCTTGTTGAGGGCAGACAACCTCTTTTCTGGCATGTTGATGACTGCTTTCTCATATAGTGGAGAGAGAGGGAGAGCTCTGGTGTTTCTTCTTTATCTTACAAGAGCACTAGCCCTATTGGATTAGGGCCCTACCCTTATGAGTTTATTTAACTTTTATCACCACCTTACAGACTTTATTTTCAAATACAGTAAAACCTTGGACTGTGAGTAACTTGGTTTGTGAGTGTTTCGCAAGACGAGCAAACATTTCTAATACATTTTGACGTGGTAAACAAGCAATGACTTGCAGTGCAAGTAGTTTGTTTCCAGAATGAATTATCCTCGCAAACCAAGGTATTACTGTACAGTCATATTGGCGGTTAGGCCTTCAATGTAGGAATTGGGGAAGGGGGAACACAGACATTCAGTCCATTACACATGGTCTTTCCTCTGTACCTGTTTGTGTTCTAATTTCCTCTTTTTATAAGGATACCAGTCCTATTGGATTAGGACCCACCCTAAACACCTCATTTTAACTTAATGAGATATACTGGGAGTTAGGACTTCAGTATAGGAATTTTGAGAGGTTGCAATTCGGAGCATAATAGGGAGGTACTATTATTTTCTCTACTCAAGATAAGGAAGCTAAACCTCAAAGATCTTGAGTAATTTGGTCGAGATCACACAGCTAAGCTAGTAAGAGAGAGAACCAGCATTCAAACCCAGGTAGATTGGCCCCAGAACCTGCTCTCTTTAGCACCTGACCATTCTCCCATCCCCATCCCCTACCATGGCACTGCAGTTGCCATGGATTATTTGACTAATCCTATGTTGAACGTAGGAGTTTTCACTCTTTTATTTCTGTTGGACAATGCTGCATTGAATGTGCTTTAACTGGTATCAGTGCACATTTCTGAAATTAATTGCTGTTGTATAATGCCTAGAAATCAATTTATTCACAGAAATCATTATTAAATTTACATATTTTTTACAAAATGCCCTCTAAAAAATATCTGTTGACTCTTCCAACAATAATCAGTGAGAGTGATAAGTTTTAGAAGGAGCAATGGAAAAACTACTTCTTGTCATAGGCTACAGATACATTTGAATTGGGTACTTATTGAGAGTATCGCAGAATGAAGTGAAACCATTCTTTCTGTTAGATGTGGTCAAAACCATATAAAGTGACATATCTTAATCAATTCATGAGTTAACTTCTTTTTTTCAGAATTTCGATTCTGACATCAGCAGCGTGGGAATAGATGGCTGCTGGCAGGCAGACAGCCAGAGGCTTCTGAATGAGGTGATGGTGGAACACTTCTTTCGACAAGGAATGCTGGACGTGGCTGAGGAACTCTGCCAGGTAACAGTGTCAGCTGCGAGAAGATGAAAAAGAAACACGTGAACTCCGTAGAGTGTTTCAGTCTTCTTTTAGCCATAGATAGATTTTTAATATTTAAATTATCAGGGAGGGCTGACCTCATTTTACTAGGAAATTTTTTTTTTTTAGTTGGTGAAAATTATAACCGTAGAACTTTTTATTTGAATTATTTCCTTATTCTTGCCCCATAACATTGGTCTCGAGTCTTCCTCCAAGGGGTCAGAAGTGATACTACTTTCTCCATTTCCTCTTTTGATAGGGAAAGTTAGTATAGCAGAGAAGAAGAAAAGGACAAAGAGGTTTATGTTTGTTCTGGCCTAACGTGTAGAAGTGTGTTTGTCAAATGAATTTCAAGCTAAAATTTACTTCAGGTGAGCATCATTTGTCTTTTATGTCTATTAGANTAAACCAGATCAACTGGATGCTTAGAAGGGAAATTGATTCCTGGTTGGTGCAACAGTAGTCCAATGTTAGACTTATACATAATTTTTCTTCAAAAGTAAATGGTTAAAAAAAATAATTCACAGTATTAAAGAATTGCCACTTAGGAATTAAAATAAATACAGGGTTTTATCATGTACTGTTACTACTGTGCTTAATAATTATAATTTCATAAAATGTATTTCAGAAATGGATTGGTTTTGGATGGTGAACAATGAAAGCCAGTCCTTAAGGTCTAACCAGTTTCTGAGCATGTTCATGTTGTGGCAAAAGCAACAGGATGGTCTGTTTAGAGTTCATAGTTTCAAACATTTATTCCTCCTCTGCCTCAGCTTCCAGATTTTAAAACTTTTAATGATTAAAAATGTGAACGACACTAAAAGTTCATGAGATGGTGTGTGAATGAGTGTGTCCTGTATTTCTTTCTAAGCCATAACATCTTCCCCAGGCAGACAGACCCTTGAATGTGTGTTTTGCATTTGATTCTTCTCTGAATCCTGCTTTTACATTTAAGAACACTTTTCCTTTTTTTAAAAGGAAAAAGTATAGTAAAACAAGTACTAATAATAGGTATTTCTCTTCATTAGCCACTTCTTGGCTGGTTTGCAATGCTGCTGATTTCCTGGGTAGCCTTGCAAACGAGTTTGGTTGCCTAGCAACAGCTGGAACTGATCCTAGCTCTCTCTGATGCAATCATAAGAACGGGCAGTTACAACAAAAGGAGTTCTGACCCTGTATTACATTTCCTCAACTTTTTATAATTTTTGCTTTAATTTTTATATAGGTGAGCAGGAAATAAGCTGTGAAAGAAGTTTACTTATCTACCTCAGTGGTTTAAATTTGAAAATCAGAATGGTATAAGAGAGCTCAGAAATTTTCATCGAATGTATTACTTATTCATATTTAGTTGTATGAGTATTTTCCAAGGCTAGCAAGTAAGTTATATTGTTTGAATGTAAGAGATATCCTGAGTGTTAAAGGTGTTCGATTTTTCTTACCTGTATAGTAGCGACCATGGGCGTGTACAGCTTATGGAAATAAGGGTACGTGAAAAGCATCATTGTAAACTGTTTAAATTTGTTGAAATATTAGACTCTTATATTTTAAAGTTTTCTAGATGGTCAAAATTTCCTTTTGGTGTGTATGTTAAGGGAAAGATTTGAAAGAATTCTCCAGTTTGATCTGAGCAGTTACTCTCTGGTAGTAGCCATTACAATTCTGACTTAATACATACTGCCAAATAAAATTGTCTGTTTTAACATGGTCTGTGCTTTGAGCTGAGCAGCATGTCTTCCAAAGTTGTTTTATGTCTGTTTTGTTGCAGAACAGAAACCTGATAAATTTGTTGGGGATTGATGGGGTTGAAGAATAATCATTAAATGAACAAGTAGAAATCTGAAGGTTGTATGTATTTGGATCAAATGAGGTTGGTAGGTCTGTGAGGAATCTTTATTAGTCTCAGTAATTCTTGCTTATGGGGTGCATTTAGTTAGACACTTAGGGAGTTATTGGCAGATTCCTGAGTTTTTATTAAATTCTGTCATCTTCACATACCCGTTCTTTTATTCACTGGAGTGATCATTTGTCTGTGGGGGTGTAAAATATAAGAACATCTGTGACATCATTCACCTTTCTAGGCCTCTACCCTGGTCTGAAGAGGAAAATAGTAGCACCATTTCCACTTTGTTTTCTAGTTGTTACAGATAGCATAAAGATAAAATAATTTGCTTGAAAGTACTAATGAACTGTTATAAAATCATCTCTCAGCAGGCAGAATCTGATGGGCAGATGCTGACTTGAGAACCTTACCTAAGCAATTGTGGCTCTTTTTTTCAGGGCTAGTGACAGCCTGTTGAGTATGTGCGTGGAAGTTGTTGCTTTAGCATCTAGGTACTCTATATTATTTCCATTCTTTAAGTATGTACTAGACCAAGAACGATGTCTATAAAAAGAAAATGAATAAAAATTAAGACCTTGACAGTAATTTTGCTTTTTTGTTTTTTTGTCTGAGTATTTCCAAATCTTAATGTATATGTTTAGTTTTAGGCTACTGACTTGACATCTAAGAATAGGGTGCATAGTTCTTTAAAGAAAAAAATGTGCTTAATTTTGAAGAGAACTCCCCTGCATTGTGGTGATGTAAATGGTGAGTGGTTTACAGTTTCTACTGTGGGTTACCTTCTACCTGTTCCTGTATGTACTATAAAACAGTCCTGTGTTACTTGGACTATATTTAAGCAGTGATTAACTAGGACTGTAATTTCAGGAAATCTGAAAAAAAAAATGCAAGAGGTTTATTAGGCGATAATGCCTATGAAAGAGAAAGAGGGCAGAAGTAAAATTGGGCAGGAAAAGCTTTCAGACCACAAAGTAGACTCGTTCTTTCCTCACTCTTGATATTCCAAGTTGCCGTCTGGTATCATTTCACTTCTGTCTGAAGAACTACTTCAGCAGTTCTTTTTAGAGCCATGTCTTCTAGCACCAAGTACATGTTCCCTTCATCTGAAAATGTTTTTATTTCATCTTCATTCCCAATGGATATTTTCACTTATAAAATTCTGGGATGACAGTTCTNTGTATGTGTGTGTTGGTCTATTTTTAACTTTTCTATTTTAAGAAAATCTAGAATTCTCAATTTAGGGTGTTTTATTCAGTCTTTTGTTTGTCTTGACTTTTTTTTTTTTAAGTTTACTTCCTAAGTCAGAAAAGTTAATGAAATGATTACTGCTTTAGACGTGTGTATTTAAATAAATAGTGCTAAGATTTAAAGGTGTTTAAAATTTGCTGTGGGACAGTTGAAAGTGAAACACATAGTATATGTTCTTTAGAAGATTGTGATCTAGTTTGGTCATGTCAGAATGCTTTTTGTAAATATAGAACTGAAAAAAATTCTGAGGCAACATATAAAGTTTGCACGGGATGGACTCTGCTTTGAATGGGGTGGATTTTGCTTACTATAAAAAAGAGGAATTCGTGCTCTTGGTTAATCTAAGGTTTGTGGAGTTGGTGTCTTAATTTTGACGTGGAAGATTGGGTAAGATTAGAGTAGAAGAGCAGTGAGGTATGGTTTTCTGTGGGGCCAGGAAAGGTGCTGAACAACTGAGAATATGCCTGACTCCTGTTAAAGACTCCAGACTGACTTGATTAGAGTGGCTGACCCTGTGCGGAAGAGGGCAAGATCGGGTGGGGGGAAGACAGATGGAAGGCTTAAGGATTTGATCCGAGGAGATGAGGGGAAAAGGGAGTGAATGATAAAAGCAGTTGAGGATTTGCTTGCCTCGTTCAATAGGATATTAGACTGAGAATTCAGGAGTAGGAAGATAATAACTGTCACTTATTGGGTGTTGACCATGTTCCAGACACTGAGCCAAGTGCTCAGTATATTTTTATCTCATACTGCAGGTACATTGTTTCCATTTTACATATGAGAAAACAAAGATTCAGAGATACTAAGTAACATAATCGAGGTGTACAGCTTGGAAGTGATGGATCAAGATTTGGGAAAAAGTCTCAACAGCCTGTTTTTAAACATTGTGTTATAATAGGAAATCAGGCCATTGCAAGGGCTGGTAATGTTTTGAAGGGGAGAATAATGGTTAAAAACATTTTTTGAACCACATTGCCTAAACTGATCTGCCACTAGATGGCGCATCTACACTGGTGGGGCAAATGCTGACTGTATTAAAAAAAAAAGAATGGAGTCATTAATGCTATAAAAAGTGAAATATAAAATATTTTAAGATAGTTTTGGTGAGCAGTCTGGAACTGCCTTTTAAGTAGGTATGACTGGGGTATGAGAGGAAAAAAGATACCCTTGGGAGATAATGTCTTGGGTTTAGCCTAAAATAGCAGTTTAGATAGAGTATGTGGGTGAGGTCAGAGGTGTGCTAGCTTTAAAGTTCTGTTATATAATGGATAAATCCTTATGTGGTAGAGAGAAGTTACTGTTAATGAAGAAAAAAATAAAAAAGACAAAATTCACTCTGCGTAAGAAGAAATAGAGCTAAGTTGAGTTCTGAAATATAGACAGATAATTTGATATGTATTTTGGGTGGAATTTTTAGAATTATTGAAAAGGAATGGTTAACAAAGTTATAAAGAGGCAGCAGTAATTTAAAAAGCCAAGAATATGTTCCCTAAATATAAAATAAAACATATCAAACTAACTCCCCTCCCCCCAGTATTACTAGTAAGTAATCCAAGAAAATATGGTAGAAAATGTGTCTAAATCTTTGCAAGGCATAAAAATCTCATATCTTTGTGGTCAAGATGGAAAATGTTCCTTATTAAATTATGGAGTTTAAATAAGAACAGTCATATTCTCAATACTCTGTTCAGTTTGGCTACGGAGCATGGTCTGAGGGTGGGCCTGATTTACCCAGTCTTGGCCACAGTTGTTTGCTGCAGGGTGGGCATCTCATAGCCCTTTCCTAGGATCTCTCATTAGAGCTCCTAATTGAAAGAAGGGCTGGGAATGTGTGAGCCCAGGAGCGATTAAGTAGACTTTAAGAGAATCTGAGAGACCCTGGTTACCTGAGCCTTTCTCTAAATCAACTTGTTTGGGCAAAAGAGATTTCTATTTGCGGGAACCAAGACTCCTGACTCCTACAAGCCACTGGATGCTGTCTAGGTCTATTCACTTGCAGTGGGCTTCAGTTTCTGTGAACAATACTGGTTTTGCCCTTTTTAGTCTGAAGAGCATTCTCAAAAGAGAAGATGAGTTTTGGTTTCTCTGCCATCTGTCACATTACATCATTGGCTCTAAACTATGGGCCTGTATTGTTCTTACTACTTCTGCTCTGAGCAGAATGATAATGGTAATA